GTGGCATAGCTTCAAGAATCACAGCAACACGCAAGCCACCACAATATAACAAACTGACAGTGGTGGTTTCCCTTACTCATCCTTACAGAAGGAGGTTTGTAGGTTTTGGGGGGTTGGGAAAGGTTCAATCAGAGTGTGTCTGGGTTCGTGTTGAGTTCCTTTAGTCTGGGAACAAGGGGTCTAGGAAAGTTGATATTTTCTGTAGTTTTCTTTCTTTGGAACAGAGCTTCAACTTTCTAGGAGAAGAAACAGGAATTACTCAGCATGGTTGCAGGACAAAGTTTCCTGTCCACTGGGCTGGGTTCCGTCTCTTCATCAGATGGACAGGGAGTCTGTTTTGATAATGCTCCACACTTGTTCTGCCATCATTTGAAGCTAAGTGTCTTCTAGAAATGACAACTACGGATAGCTGGAACTGTAGAGTCAGAAATGGGGAGAGCTTGGCTTCATGCAGGTACAACCTCAGCTCTCAGAAAGACTCTACTCTTGGATTAATGCTCCGTTGTCCCATCTTGTATATTTGTGTTATGTGAGTGAAGTTCAATGGAACAATAGTGTTTGTGTATGTGAGTGCACGTTAGGGTATATGTGGAGGAACTGAAGCCTCGGTTCACAAAGTTCTCTGCTCCTTCTTGCTGCCTCCCAGAAACAGGTTTTTGGCTACTCACTGCATTCTCCAGCCAGGAGCATGGGAGGGAGGGCTGTGATCAGTGTGGAGACAGCAGTACCTGTTAGGTGGTCGATGGAGGTAAATCCCATACCTGAACCAGGCACCTCACATTTCCCAGTACAGAGGTTTAGAAACCCTTGGGAACCAACTTTCTGCCACATGTGGTTACAGGAGATGCTGGCTAGATCCCTGCCAGCCTCAAAGAGCATAAATGTGGTGGCTGGTGGAGGCAGAGTCCAGAAGGTCTCAGTATAGAGTCCAAGTGCTTGTGAGGGTCTTCATTTGTCCCTGATATTCCTTTACCTGTCCCTCTCTTCTTCCTCCAACCTTCTTCAGTCTAGCTTGTCTTTGTTTCTGACCAGCACAAAGCACCCTCCAGGCACGAACTACTATGGACAATTTTGTAATTTGGGGGATTCCAGATATGAATGAAGTGTTCTTATGCTTGCATTTAAAATTGTTGTTGTTGTTATGTGCTGTGGAGTCGGTTCTGACACAGAGCAACCCTATACAGGGTTTTCAAGGCTGTAAATCTTTACAGGAGCAGAAAGCCTCATCTTTCTCCTATGGAACAGCTGCTAGTTTCGAACTGCTGACCGTGAGATTAGCAGCCTGATTCGCATTGCACAATTTAAACACGAACTTAAAATTCATTTAAAAATTTAATTATTGCTTTTAGAATGCCATTACATAGCAAATAATAAACACCATGAGAGAGATTGCACAAGAAAGGAAAAAGTCTTATATTTTTAGTACCTGCAAGGTAACTTTACCCCTGCCTTTCATGTATTTTCATTTTGTATTTGGCCTGCCAGTTGCACGGCTGGCCTGGAACAACAACTTGTGTGTGATGCTCAGATGACACTTCCCTGTACCTCCACCTTCTTACTGCATCATTCATTCCCCAGGTGTTTGCACAATTCAGAAGGAAGATAATGGGCCTCTTAGTAACCTGGCACGTGCGTGCTCAAGTGATGAACTGGGAATACAAAGAGTCATGATCATATTTCTATCCCATATTGATGAGTAACACATGGAAATCTCTCTGATCTGAAGCCAGTAAACGTTGGTTTTCCCGGCCTTGCCTTCTCTGAGTCTTTCTGTGTTTGTAACTTTGCCTCATGGCTATCTTTGTGCTTTGTTTTTCATTTTTTAATTGAGGTAAAATACATATAACATTTGCCATTGTAACCATTTTGGCGTGTACAATTCAGTGACATTAATTACATTCCCTGGGCTTTGCCACCATGACCAAAGCCTTTTCATCACCCCAAACAGGAACTCTCTACCCCTTATGCAGAATGAATCTCCACTCATTCTTCCTCCCAGCTCCTGGTCACCACTATTCAGCTTTAGCCACTATGTGTTTGTCTATTCTAGATATTTCATGTTAAGTGGGTGTCATATAATGTTTATCCTTGTGTGGTTGACTATTTAAACTTAGCATAAAGTTTTGAAGGTGGATGCATGTCGTCATATGCATCAGAACTTCATTTTTGTTTATGGCGGGGTGGGACAGTTTGCACTCAGCTGCTATTTAAAAGGTTGGCAGTTTAAACCCACCCAGTGATATCATGACAGGAAAGTCTGGCTAGCTAGTTCTGTAAAGATGGAAGCCAAGCCAAGCCAATTCTATGGAGCAGTTCTACTCTGAAACACATGGGGTTGCCAAGAGTCAGAACCAGCTCCATTTTTGTGTATGACTACAGCATATTTTGTTTATCCATTCATCTGATGATAGACACTAATCTTGTTTTCATCTTTTGGCTACTGTGAAGAGTGTTGCAGTGAACTTCAAATTGGTTCATTCAACTGGTTCTTTCCGGTTTGATCCCCCTGCTGAGAATTTGCATTTCTATTAGACTAATGCCTCAGACTGCAAAATCCTTTGAACTGCAGAGTCAGTGGTTCAAGCTCACCAGCTGCTCCTTGGAAACCCTATACAGGGTCGCTATGGGTCGGCACTCAACCATAACAGCAACAAGCCCAGGTTACATTGAATCAGTCTCTACATTTTAACAAGATTCCTCAGATGGTTCTTAGATAGCTTAGGAGATCTTTTAAAATGTAGATGTTGATTCAATGTTTCTCATGTGGAAATGCAACTTCGCAGCAGGAGGTCAAACCAGAAAAAAACAGTTCAAAGCTGAGCAATGAAGAATGGTGTACACATACCTACTTGAGTCTCTGTTTTTCATTCTTTTGGGTATATACCTAGGAATGTTTCTTCATGTTTTCAATTAAATGTAATACATATATATTTTATTGTTGTTAGGTGCCATTGAGTCAGCACGAACTCATAACAACCCTGAGTCACTATGAACAAAACACTGCCCAGTCCTGGGCCAACCTCCCTCACAATCACTGCTACGCCTGAGCCCATCACTGTTGCCACTTTGCCAATCCATCTTGCTGGGGGTCTTCCTCTTTTTCTCTGACCCTCCACTTTACCAAACATGATATCTTTCTCCAGTCACTGGTCCCTCCTGATAATATGTCCAAAGTATGAAAGACGAAGTCTGGCCATCCTGGCTTCCAAGGAACACTCTGGCTGCACTTCTTCCAACACAGAACTATTTGTTCTTTTGGCAGCCCATGGTACTTTTAATATTCTCCTCCAACACCATAACTCAAATACATCAATTCTTCTATGTCTTCCTTATTCACATCCAACCTTCACATGCATATGAGGTCACTGAAAATACTATGGCTTGCATCAGGTGCGACTTAGTCCTCAAACTTACATCTTTGCTCTTCAACACTTTCAGGAAGTTTTGTGAAGCAAAGTTGCACAATGTAATACATTGTTTGATTTCTTGACTGCTGCTTCCATGGATGTTGATGGTTGATCCAGGCAAAATTAAGTCCTTGACAACTTCAATCTTTTCTCCATTTATATGGATGTTATTTATTGGTCCAGTAGTGAGGATTTCTGTTTTCTTTATATTGAGGTGCAACCTATACCAAAGGCTGTGCTCTTTGATCTTCATCAATAAGTATTTTAAGTCCTCTTCACTTTCAGTAAAGGTTGTATCATCTACATATTTGAGGTTGTTAATGAGCCTTCCTCAAATCTTGATGTCCCATTCTTCTTCATATAATCTAGTTTCTCTGATTATTTGTTCAGCATACAGATTGAATAAGTATGGTGAAAGAATACAACCTAGTGACACCTTTCCTAATTAGCTGAGGCCCACCTACACCAACCATTCCTAATTAGGAAAGGTGTGCACTATATATATCTCCAGGACAGACTTGCCACACTCTTCAGGAACTTTGTGATCTAATGCTACTAGTGGATGACTGTCACAAACAGAAATTTATTTCTTCACAGCTTAGAAAGCAAGCAGTCTAAATCCAGATCCAGGAGCTGGCTCTAAGGGAAACCTCTGAAGCCAGGCCCTTGTCCTCAATCTTCTCCTGGCTCTAGGAGTATCTCAGTGCAGAGACCTCAGCTTCAAAGGATGTGCTCTGCTCTCAGTACTTCCTTATTGGTGACACCAAGGTCCCTCAATCTCTGTTTGTTTAATCCCTTTTTATATCTTAACAGAGACCGACTCAAAACTACAACTGAATCCTGTAGAAGGCATCTTGCCTCATTAACATAACTGCCTCTAATCCTACCTCATGAATAGCATGTTATTGTTAGGTGCCATGGAGTTGGTTCTGTCCCATAGAGACCCTATGTACAACAAAGTGAAACACCGCCTGGTTCTGCCCCAGCCTCACAAATGCTGTTATGCTTGAGCCCATTGCTACTGCCACTTTGCCAACAAAGAGAGGAGGATTGACATCAGACCACAGGAGGGATGGCACTTATACAACACAGAGACTCATGACGCAGCCAAGTCCACCCGTACGTATTAACCCATAGCAGGAATGGAAGGCGGGCTGGGCTGGTCCCTGAAGCTCTTCTGTGGAGTCACAGCAGTGGCCACCAGGAGCTGCACAGCCTGTCTTGCCCGTCCATCCCTTCTAGGTTGCTCAGACAAAAAGCAAGCTTGAGACTGCCCAAAGCACCCATGTCTGACCGCCATGTAGAAGCCAGCTGATGGCCCTCGGTACTCTCTTGGATGCACCATTTTATTCTTGTTCCCACCTGCGATTTTCAAAGCTACTGGTAGCAACAGAGGAACTGAGTTTTGGAAGTATGAGGAGAAATCCTTTGTCTAGAAGTGAAATGGCTGTGGATGAACCTTTTAGGGCAGATTTTGCTGAGGAGGAAAATTTGCACCTGCTTTGAATTGGCTTCTCATTTAAAGAGAGAACAAGGGGAAACAAAAACAAAAGGCCAGCCCATCCAAGAATGATTGCTGCCAAAATTACTTACCAAAGACATCTGCGAAGCTGTGATCCATTCAGGAGCGATATGGAAATGAGCCCCAGCGGAGTCGCCCAGCAGAATGATTCCCCTGGGCTGTGAACCTAGGCAGACAATTTATTCACTGTTATCTATGTGCTTAAGTTGCCTGGAGCTTCTGGGTTGGGAAGTTCTGAGAGGAGATACCCTAGTGTCCAGGTTGGGAAGTTCTGAGAGGAGATACCCAGGTGTGCATTGTGTACTCAGAGCATGTTAACAGTGATACATTGCCTCTTTCTGTGTGCTGGCCAGTAATGACCGTAGCCTTAGGAACTGCCTGACATTTCTGGGCCATCAGAACTGCTGGTTAAGCCCTGCAGATGCAGGTATGTGCCCCAGCTCAGCACAAAACTAACCTCCATACAGCAGCCTGAGTGAATGATGGATGAAGAAGGAAATTTAAACTTCATCTAGACTCAGAAATATGCCCTAAATTTTGGTCTTGGAAATTGCTTTCTTGGAAAACACACCCATTTCTGTTGTAATTTGCTGTAAGAATTAATTATCTCATGGAGCAATTTAAATTTTTTGAAGATGCAATTGTCTTTTTTATGTTTCCATGCAGTAATATCTTTTATTATGTATGTTTTTATTATTATGATGATTATTTCCTTAATCTCTTCATATATAGGCAAAAATAAGTGTACTGTTTTAATATATTTGAACTTGCCAACTTGATCATGGCCTAGAGAAGAGACAAGGAACCCCAAAGTATGCTTAACCAGGAGGCCAATTCATCTGCCGACCTCTAAGAACATGAAGATGAACAATGGTGACCGGACCAACTGTCCTCCATGTGAACCTTCATCCACCACCGTCCGATAACCCAGATCAGAAGCACATTTCTTACCAACAATCATTAAATGACTGAGAAAATAGTCATCATCATCTTCTGCTACAGAAATCTGGTATAGATGCTTCTTAGGTATCACCAGAAAACGTGCTTGATGGGAAATGTCATGGAGAGCAAGACACCAGTCATCCTCAAAAATGATTTTGGCTGGCATTTCCTTGAGGATGATCTTCCCAAACATTGTGTTGCCCCCAGGCTGAGCAGTCTGAGCCTTGGCAGTCTCATCTGCCATCTCAGTCTCCCTCTGGTGCCAAGGCTCTGGGAGAAGCTCGAGAGGAAGAAGGAGGAAGGTGGAATTGTCTTTTAAAGTCCTTCGTCCACATGGGTCAAAAGCAGTGGATGGAAGGTTCCAGTTGATTAATGGGGAGATGGAACTATAAAGGTCTCTATGCAGTCCTGCATGTTTGGAAATTAAGCAACAATCTGTTGCTAAGGCCCACCTACACCAACCATTTGCCAATATGTATGCTCTTTCCAATCCCTTCAGATTCTGTGAGAATCGATCGACATCTTCGGGGTCAGGGAGGGAGAAACATTGCCTAAACAAAAAGTGCCCTATGGCCTGCTGATAAAAACTTTGGACACCACCCGGAAGATGCTTTCAGACATGTGTGGGTAGCAGTGAGTGTCTCCTAACAGTACTGATGGCCTAAATGTCTGGGACATTTGGGCACTTAGTGTACAAAGCTCTTTACATAGTTATTTTGGGAATCCCCTTAAAGTATAGCTTAGTGATCTCCCTCAAGTCACCAAGACATCCATCTTTACTTGGGTTGACACAGGGACCCATCAGTACCAGCTCAAGGGATCTGGTCTTGTAGTATATTGAGAAGAAAATTAAAATGTCAGATGAAAAATTCTAGTTATCATTTCAACTTGTTTTCTTATTTGGAGAGGTGCTAGATTTTGGTTACCCTGTTAGCCACCCTTCAGTCTTTCCTAACATAATCATTAAAATGTCCAGTTCCTAACGAAAAGAGTTAATTAAATTCAGTTTTGCGTTTGTAAATTCTGCCTCCTTTTTCATTTTTTCAGGTCTTTTTTTGTTCTGTCATGAAAAAAAATGTAAATTTGTCAATTTAAAGTAAGTCCTAGCAGCCGGCACTTGCTCACTTGGGCAGCCTGTTCACTTAAATTTGACTGATACTAGGAAAGAATAGTTTATGGTAATAAACACACTGAATTGTGTAATTCATACCTTCACAGAATTTCTTCTCGTATGGGATCCCATCTTTTGGATCAATACCCTTTAAAGGAGAAATTAAGAGATTAACAATTTGTTTTTTAAGTTTATGAAACACACGCAATGAATTCCTTCCATGTAGCTTTAAAAGGGTAAAACTAATCAATATGTTCTTGTTAAGTGCCTTTGAGCTAATTCTGAAACAATACCCTCTCCTGCTCCGTTCTCACACTTGTTGTTACATTTGAACCCATTGCTGCTGCCACTGTGTCAATTCAGCTTCTTAGAGATCTTTCTCTTCTTTGCTGACCCCTCTACTTTACCAAACACGGTTTGCTTCTTCAGGGACCGGTCCTTTCTAATAACATGTCCAAAGTATGAGAAACGAGGTTCGCCATCCTGGCTTCTAAGGAGCACTCTGACTGTATTTCTTCCAACACAGATTTGTTTGTTCTTCTGGCAGTCCATGGTACTTGTAATATTCTTTTCCAACACCAGAATTCAAATGCATCGATTCTCCTATGGTCTTTCTTATTCATTGTCTAACTTTCAAATGCACATGAAGCTATTGAAAATACCATGACTTGGGTCAGGCTCACCTTAGTCCTCAAACTGACATCATAGCTCTTGAATGCTTTTAAAGAGGTCTTGTAAAGCACATCTGCTTAATGCAATTTATGCTTCGATTTCCCTGGAGAAGAACATCATGCTAGGTAAAGTGGAGGGATAGCAAAAAAGAGGAAGACCCCTGAAAAGATGGATTGGCACAGTGGCAGCAGCAGTGGGCTCAAGCTTAACAATGATCTGAGATTGGTGCAGGACTGGTAGGGTTTCATTCTGTTGTGCATAAGTTCGCTATGAGTCAGAACTGATTGGAAGGCACCTAAAAACAACAATTCAGAGGCAATTTACCTTAAATCTTGTACTTCAGAGCCCCCCCCCCCCATTTGCATAACTCCCAGCCCATGTGAGTGCTAGGATAGGTTTGCAGTTATAGAATATTCTAGGTGGGACAGGAAACCAAATGCCTGTTAGAACATGTTTCCATGTAAGCACTCCTGTAACCCAGTAAAGAGATCACAAAAGAAAGGGAACTGAGTATCTGACACTGCAATCATTTGTTAGGATTTGTTTCATTATTCTAAACAATTATTTACTTTCATCTTGATTTTAAGTTTGTGATTTGATATTCTTTTTCTTCACAAAGACCCTTCATGTCTTTTACGTTGTTGTTGTTGTGATGTGCGGTGAAGTCGGTTCTGACTCGTAGGGTTCTCGTGGAGTGACTGATGAGCTTGAACTGCTGATCTTGTGGTTCAACCTGACTTTGCAGTCCAGCGCATTCACCCATAGTATCACACCAGGACTTCACAAAACTTGAATCTGTCACCTTTGTTTTGTCCACAAATAAATGCTTGGCAGATTTTCCTCCTTCCTGTTTTTCTACCTAGAAGCTGCAATTCCATTATTCAGAGGGAACAGTATCAGTCCAGCCTTCTGCAGGTCATAGGATAAGTACAGGGTGATTTCCTCTCTAACTCCCTTAGCTTATGAAATGGAGAAATGGCTGCAATAAGATGGTGACCGCAGGTGGTTTGCTGCAACAGCCATTTGCATTGCTGTCAAAGTTTACTAACATCACTCCTCATTTAATTTCTCACCGTTCAAAAGAGAACAAAAGAATTAGACGTGGGTCACCTTAAGGAGGGTTTAAAGGGACATGGCACTGTAGGATAAATGCTCCACCACAAGGTCAGTTTGAACTGCAAACTCAGGGGTTTAAACTCACCAGTTGCTCTCTGGAAACCCCATACAGGGTCACTATGAGTTGGAACAGACTTGATGACACTTACTAAAACAACAACAGTCTCTCTTTACATCTTTGATACTCTTTATGTGTACTGCCTTCCAAACAGCAGAAAAGAACTGCTTCAGGCTGCCATTTTCTTCCTTGTTGTTGTTGTTAAGTGCTGTCTAGTCAATTCTGACCCATAATGACCCTGTATAGGGTTTCCAAAGAGCAGCTGGTGAGCTTGAACCACTGACCTTGCAGTTCAAACGACTTTGCAGTCTGACACATTAGCCCACAGCACCACACTAGGACTCCATTAGATTTGACTAAAGCCAATATGCAATTGGCATTTGGGGTTGGTGGAAAGAGAGCAGGGTTAAATCTGAATTTAGTTGCTTACCCAGATGCCATTGCAGTTTGAATCTTGATGTGCATCCCAGTTGACTGGCCTAAGAAGAAAACACTGACATTGGTCTTGACATATACTTATCACTTATAATGTTAATTTCATGAATAAGTGAACGAATGAATGAATGCTACACAGAATGCCATTGAGAGACAACAGCATCCTTCTTTCATTGTGCATTTTGGTATACGGAGCCTTCATTTCCCCTTTTTGATATCTATTTTGGGTTTTGAATATTTTAATATGCTGGGAACCCTGGACCAAATCCATTCTTTTCCATGATTGACTATATTCATGAAGTATTGTTTGGAATGGGGCTGATCAGCATAATAAACACATCTGTAATCTTTTCCACTTAAACAGGTGAGGCTGTTAAAGTTGCGCTTCTAAAACACTCAAACATCTGGATAATTGAATGCGTGAATATTGTAGTCACAGCCTACGTGAAGGCTGGCAGGTCCACTTTTTGACACATGCTCTCCCTTCATAGAATCCTCTCTTTATTCCTCATGGGGGCGGCTGCTATTTGGGAGCCTAATCCTGTTTGTAGAACTAGTACAAGAGGCTGGATAAATGTCTATCATAAGCTGCTTTCTGTGCTTGCTTCACCCACTAGACTGTGCTGCACAAGAGGAGGCATACTTTGACACTGGGTATCACACAACATGATTCAGGTGGCCTGACCTATAGAAGGTGCATGTTGAACATTTCCTGAACAAATGGATGGATCAATGTGGCTCTTTGTTCACTGAGCCCCACAGAAGGCACATAGAGTTTCCCTCATGCTGTAAACAGGAATCTCTTAGGCTGAGGGAAGAACATTCACCTCTTGCCTTCTTTTCAGAAGGCGATTTCAAACTCAGAGTAAGCTGTTACCTTCTGCCTGGGTATGTCATGTTGTCATGGTCATTGCAGTCTCGCCCTCGCCAGTGGTAGCCCCGCAGTGTCTGAAAGGGAAGACATAAATGGGGAAGCTCAGGTTGGCTTCGTGTATCCATAGTGAGGGTCTACACAGTGGTTTTTAGTTCAGATACAGTCAGGGGACACCCAAGGTCATGAAGAAAATGAAGATTGATATGGCAGGGCAAGCTCTGTGAGGGGAGATGGGACATCGTACCAGGGTCCAATAGCAGGAGCAAGTGTGGATGTATATGTGAACATGTGAGCATGTGTGTGTGGGATGGGTGCATGTGATTTGGGTGTGTGCCTGCATGTAGGTGCATGTGTGTGAATGTGCATGTGTGGACATGTCTGGAAACATACGACTGTGCATGCATGCACACACATGCACCCTGCACATGTGAGCACATACCTATGCATGTCTTCATGGGTGTGACTGCTGTGTATGCATGTGCCTTTGTTGTTGTTGTTGTTAAGTGTCATCAAGTTGGTTCTGACTTATGGCGACCCTACATAGGGGTTTCCAAGGAGTGACTGGTGAGTTTGAACCGCTGACCTTGTGATTCAAATCAACCTTAAAGTTGGGTGCTTATCCTACGGTACCACGCCAGGACTCCCGTGTGTCTACGTGTACCTCCACAAATATCAGGATTACTTTTGTTGTTGTTAAGTGCTGTCAAGTCGATTCTGACCCGTAGCGACCCTGTATAGGGTTTCCAAGGAGCAGCTGGTGAGCTTGAACCACTGACCTTGCAGTTCAAACAGCTTTACATTGGGATTACCTCGCTCCCTGGAATTCCACTGTTTCTTGGCAATCCTCCCAAACTCTGACACAGCTGATGTATTTGGTCAAATGATGAATTGTTTCATTGGATGACTTATAAATCTCCAGTCAAACTAGTTACTTATGTGTTTTTGCATCTTTGACATGATTTATTTGAGAGAAGCAAGGGTCAGACTGATTAAACACTGTTTTTTATTTCCTCCATTTGCAGTTAGAGTGTCTGAGGTAACCCAAACTTTATGGCGTTTGTGATGTGCTATTTGCTTGTTTGCATTCATGCAGAACACACTGGCATTCTAATTGCTCTAAATTAAACACAGACACACATTTTTTTGAAATAAATTACAGTAGGTTTAGGCTTAAGAGTTTTCTAATAATTCACATGACCACTCAAGATAACTGTAGTCTCCATGGAGAATCCCAGCAGGGGATGACTCCAGAAAACAAAACAATCAAGGCCTCAGGTTCCTCTGCGTGGTCCATGTATTATACCAAAAGTCCTTGAAATCATATACCAAAATTAAATTCTTTCTTATTAAAGGGAAGAAATTTGTAGGAAGTTAGGCGGTATTTTGTGACGAGCTGTTTATTTTTATAATACTCACCGGGAAAACACTGTATTTGTCTGAGTCTGCATCTTGGAATGGCACAGAACTTTTAAAAACTCTAAAAAACAAAACAAAACAAAACACCTGATGAACTAAGGAAACAAAACCCAAAACACCACAAATCATGTATGTGAAAACAAATAGAAATATTTCTAGATGTGGCTGTTTTGAGTTTATGTGATCGAGGCTCATTTAAAAAATAAAATTAAGGTCCAACACAGGGAGTCCTGGTGTGGTGTTGTGGGTTAATGCACTGGACTGCAAAGTCGGTGTAAACTGCAAGGTCAGTGGTTCAAGCTCACCAGCTGCTCCTTGGAAGCCTTATACAGGGTTGCTACGAGTTGGAACCAACTCGACGGCATTTAACAACAACAACACAGTATATAGGAATCCCAGCCAAACTTTGCCAATCCCTGTTAACCATTTATCACAGCTGCTTTCCCTCTGATATTTAACTTGGTCCCCCACATGGAGAGTGAGGAGGTAAAATAATTGTCTCGAATCTTCAGTGGCCATGGAATAGTGAAGTTGAGATCCCAGGAAATAAAGAGACTGCACTTTTTATTCAAAGTACTCAGTACTGAGAGTTGAAATTTGAAACACATCTGTCATGGAAATCTTTTCTTGAAATTTTACTATCTTGAATCACTTACTCTGGAAATCCTGATAAACACAGAAAAGTTTGAGTTTGTCATGATTTTTCTTTTACTTGGATCCACAGTCAATGCCCATGGAAGCAGCAGTGAAGAAATCAAACAATGGATTCCATTAGGTAAACCTGCTGCACAAGACGTCTTTTAAAATGTTAAAAACAAAGATTTCACTTTGAGGACTAAGGTATGCCTGCTCTGTATAACAGTCAACAAAATGGGTCTGAGTCTCTTATAAACAGAGACACAAGAAATGAAAAGAATAAAGTTGAAAGGCCAGCAGGTAGTCGGGCACTGGGGGACCATGTGAAGAGATGTTATTATTATGTGCTGTCAAGTCGGTTCTGACTCATAGGGACCCTGTGTACAGTTTACAAGGAGCAGCTGGTAGGTTTGAACCGCCAACCTTGTGATAACAACAGACCTTGTGGTCTAGTGCATTATCCTATTGTTGTTGTTATGTGCCGTAGAGTCAGTTCTGACTCATAGTGACCCTATACAGGGTTTCCGAGGCTATAAATCTTTACGGGAGCAGAAAGCCTTATCTTTCTCCCATGGGACAGCTGGGAGTTTCGAACTGCTGACCGTGAAGGTTGCAGCCCAATTCATAGCCACTATGCTACCAGAGCTCCTTATATAATAGATAGTAATGAAATTATCCTGTAGCATTGGGTAAAAGTGGTTAGAAAACAGATACGGGGTAATAACATTAAGATTTATGTGGCCAAATTCTCTATCCTCCTTCAGTAAGAGACATTGTTGTTTGTTGTTAAGTGCAGTCGAGTTGGTTCTGACCCATAGCGACCCTGTATAGGGTTTCTAAGGACCAGTTGGTGAGCTTGAACTGCTGACCTTACAGCTCAAACTGGCCTTGCAGTACAGTGCATATCCTACAGTGCCACACCAGAATTTAGAATTGGTTTAAGGGAAACTTCTGAACACCCAGCCTTCTTCTTTAAAGTAAGTATATTTCTGGTCATTGGAAATAAAACATTTTTGATATATTTTAGTGTTTTATGAAGACAGAGTCATTAATAACTAAATTTGTCTATATACTTTCTAAGAATAAATGCAATGGGCAATGATGTATCAATCAGGGTCTGTCTGCTGTGAAATTTCTCATGGATGAAGAGGAAGTTGTAAGGTTTCATTTAGCCTCCTATGTTGTTGTTGTTAGGTGCCATCAAGTTGGTACCAACTCATAGCAACCTTATGCACAACAGAGCGAAACACTACCCAGTCTTGGGCCAACTTCATAATCGTTGCGATGTCTGAGCCCATCGCTGCTGCGACTATGCCAATCCATCTCATTGTTGGTCTTCCTCTTTTTCTCTGACCCTCCACTTTACCAAACATGATGTCCTTCTCCAATACCTCTTGATAATATGTCCAAAGTATGAGAGATGATATCTGGCCATCCTGGCTTTCAAGGAGCACTGTGGCAGCACTTCTTCCAACATAGATCTGTTTGTTCTTTTGGCAGTCCATTATACTGTCAATATTCTCCTCCAACACCATAACTCCTATGGCACCTCTGCATTTTGCTCTGTGATACTGCAAAATACACTGACTAGGTCCCAAAGGACAAGCACTCATTTAAAATGCACTGTGACTGCTAAAGTGGACTGGGTGGAAGAAACAGTTTGCATCCAACTATTTATAAACAGTGGTTGGTGCAGTAGGATAGACACTAGACTGCAAGGTCTGTTTAAACTGCAAGGTTGGTGGTTCAAACTCACCAGCCTCTCCTGGGAAACCTTTGACAGCACTTAGTAACAGCAACTGTGGGTGGGCTCAAGCATAGCAACAATTGTGAGGTTGGTGCAGGACTGGATGGTGTTTCGTTCTGTTGTGCATAGAGGATCTCTAAGAACCAGAGCCGACTCGATGACACCTAGCAACACCAACTAACCTAAAAGTTGGAGATTTGAACCCACGCAATGGTGCCATGGAAGAAATGCTGGGCTATCTGTGTCTATAAAGATGACAGCCAAGAACACCCTATGGGACAGTCCTGGAGTCACCCTGATTCAGAATGGGCTTGTTTCTGTCTATTTTTGTGACTATTAGGAAACATTTTTGAAAAAGAGTTTGAAGATGCTACATCCTTTGAGACTAGGCAGTGTTTTCTATGTATTCGTTTGACTTCTTGCTACTTCATTTCATACTATTTCATTTTTTTTGATTGAGTAAAGGAGGGTAGGGAAGAACAGGGAGAGAGATGGCATGGACTGAAACAATCATATTTTAGGTCTAGGAGAGGGTGCTGGGGGAAAGTTTTCATTTTAGTATACCATATCTATCCCCACCCACCTTTGTGATCTTGGGAGTAAGAATTTGTCCTTGAAGGAACCATAAATTGTCTGTAGAAATTGACAGTTCATTGAATTAATCTTCTTTAATGTTTTTAAGGACTTAAACCAACTGATCAAAGCCATATGTTCTAGACATGAGAGAGTAGATTAATTATCTAAAGTAGCAAAAACTACTACTAAAGGAAGCTCACTATCCCTTATTCAGAGATCCAACCCCAAAGAGCTCTGAAAACCAAAAGTTGTGTCCCATTCCACCCCATCCCCCTGCCACCATCCCCCTGCCAATTTTGCAGCAAATTCAGTTGGTGACAATCAATACACTAAATCCTATTTCTTGTGAAAATGTTCACAATGTGCTAGATTGTGTGGTGCTGGCCCAAACTTTGCTGGGGGTGCTAGGTGAGTTACGGCATATGCATTGTATGTCATTTTCCTAAGATCTGAAAAAGTCTGAATTCTAAATCAAATCATATTGGAACCAATGTTTCAGATGAGTCATTGTTAACTTTTACTAAAATTATTTTTGCAGAATTGTGTCTAAATTTGACACCTTATGTAGCCTTAGCAGTGTCTGTATGCTGAGATATTAATTGGTTCATTGGTTCTCAAGGCATTTTTGGAATGCCTGCTCTGTGCCAGGTAGAACATTAGACACTAGAGAAAAAGACAGAATGCCTTCCCTGGGCTTGACAAGCTTAAGAATGGGTGGAAGAAAATGATGCATCAACAAATAACTACAGCGTCATAAGATTTTACACCACAAGGAGAAACATTTCTACATCTGTAGAGGGGAGAAGATGAGATCCAAGTGAAACCTAAAGAATGAGAAAGAATTTTCAAGACAAGGAATTGGGTGAAGGGCTTAGCAGTAGGAAGAAAAAGCCCATAAGAAGTCCCATAGCATAGCTCTGGGTTTGAATCCCAAGTTGACTCTCAATTTGTTCTATGACCTAGGGAAATTTATTTTATCTTTCTGTGCCTCAATTCTCTCATTTGAAAAGTAGAGTTAATATCAGTACCTACTTCCTAGGATGGTTGTAAAGACTCAATGAATTGATCTGTGTAAAGTGCTAAGTACTGTGCCAATCGTAGAGTACTGAAACAAACAAAAATGAACTATTATTGGAGTCCCTGGGTAGTGCTCTGCTACTAACTGCTAGGTTGGTGGTTCAAGCTCACCCAGAGGAGCCTCAGAATAAAATCTTGGCAATCAACTTCTGAAAAATCATCCACTGAAAAGTTGATGGAGTACAGTTCTACTTTGACACTCGTGGGACCATGTGTGAGTTGGATATGACTCAATAGCAAGTGACTACTATTGTTACTATGTATAATGAGAACAATTGTCCCAAGGATTGATTCTAGAATTGGGCAATAGGAGTCAGGTGTCTACTCTGACCACATTTTCAGATGTTGGTTTCTGGATACATCCAAAACCCATTCTCTAGACCTTCTTTAGACCTTCGGATTTCCAGCTCACAATGTTCTATCCAATTATTGTGCAGGCCATTGCAACTAATAACCAGCTTACTGTTACTGCTGTATTACTAACTGTTGCCAGATGTCAGGCTTGATCCAGTGAGTAATTATAATTGCAGCTGAATGCTAGTAATTACATAATACTGAATTGTTCAAGTTCAATTTCCCTAAAATTATTCATGGAACTGGGGCATTGCAATAAAAGAAAAATAGGTGAAGATGAAGCTTCCATGTGGTTCTACATCTCATTGGAAATCCAGGCAGCAGATGAGGGTTAGAAATAGGCTTGTTGCATTTATACATGGATGTTTTTATATATCGCTGAAGTCACCTTTGTCCTATGAGAATAGAGAACATCATGGAAGGATGCATCCCAATGTATTGACATGACTCATTTTGTGGTGGGGACATTGATGATGTAGATGGAAGGAGGAAGGTATGAGGAAGGAGGGGAAGCAAGAAAAGAGAAGAAACTAATGATGAAATAAAAGCACAATGAACATCTGATATGATCGTTTGATAGTCTGTCACCACCCATCTGTCAATTTCTCTACTGGTGGCTTGAGAGTTACTATGATACTGGGAACTATGCCACTGATATTTCAAATAACATC